ACTAGGTTGGTAGCCTACAATGTTTGGTAGCCTACAATGTTTGGAGGCTTGACTAGGTTGGTAGCCTACAATGTTTGGTAGCCTACAATGTTTGGAGGCTTGACTAGGTTGGTAGCCTACAATGTTTGGTAGCCTACAATGTTTGGAGGCTTGACTAGGTTGGTAGCCTACAATGTTTGGTAGCCTACAATGTTTGTAGGCTTGACCTTGGGAATTCCAAGTTGCCTAACTTTGGGGGCTTGCCTAACATTGTGGGCTTGATTACTTGTATATATATGTGTTGATTGTAAGTAATGAAACATAAGTGAAAATCAGAAAATATTCTACAACTCTCATTCTCTCTACACTTTCCACTCTCTACTCTCAATATTCTCTATGTTTTAGCATGGTATCAGAGCCTATGGCTAATCCTTAAGATCCTCTATCAAATTGAGAGTCGTTGGCGTTTTTTTCATGTTGCTGTAAATTCTCTTGTTTATGTTAAATTTCCTCTCTTTATTTGTATGGGCAATAAGTCCCTTGGCCACGATGGCCTAATTTGTTTCCTATGGGCAGTACGTCTCTTGATCACCATGATTTCTTTTTTATTTGGTTGGGATTTCACTGCACTGGTGTTCAGAACGTCGCATGAACTTGATGCACCTTTTTGTCGTTTTGTTGTTTTGTTCCCCTATTGGATAACTAGGCTACTCCAGGTTTCTCACTGGATATGAAAAAATTTCTTAGGTGCATCATGGGGGTGCTGGGACAACTGCTGCTGGTCTGAAAGCTGCGGTAACTGATAATGCTATATTCTTGGGGAGTCTTACATTTGTAAATGATTCAGTTACTCATTTGGCTCATATTCTGTGTTCTTTTTAGTGTCAACCACAATTGTACCATTCTTTTGGGACCAGCCATTTTGGGGGGAGAGGGTGCATGCCAGAGGAGTAGGTCCTGCACCCATTCCAGCTGCTGAATTCTCGCTTGAAAAGTTGGTCGATGCCATACGCTTCATGTTAGATCCAAAGGTATTTACAATTTTCGTTTTAAACTATCAAGTGATTTACATATAATTTGTCATTTCTTGAGTGTAAACTTATCACACATGCATACGCTCTGATTTAATTGAAGTTGACATTGTTTTGTAATCAATTTATAAACCCGAGTCATTACCGGCTAGAAGAGGCTTATTTTCCATCATGAGGTGTTTTGGCTACTCCTCCTCCTACACATGATTCTTCACTAGTCCACAGCGATGTTTTATTCCTATCATGTGCAAGACATCAGAAATGTGAAATTCTGATATCCTCTTACTAGGTTACTTAACATTACATCGTTTTTGTTTTGCTTGTGAAACAAATCTTCTACAGATGCCTTTGTTTTCATTATTAGATAATGTCTATTAGGGCCGCTTCCACCGGGACAGTAAAAATTGTTATTGGAAGTGTTTTTAATACACTGAGAAAGATGTGATGCTTTGGTAGGGAGCTTGGAAATTTACAAAGCTGAACGATTCTTCAAGAGCCTTAAGGCCCTGTTTGGGATTGCTTTTTTTCGCCAAAAACCTGCTTCACTTTAAAGTTAAATAGTTTAAGGTGTTTGGTAAAAATAAAATATCCCGATTATTTTAAAAGTAAAGGCCTACAGCAACTTTTAAAAGCAGGCTTTGGGTTGCTTTTCAAAGGTTCTTTCAAAAGAAGCAGAGATAAACTTTTAATGAATTTCTTTAATTCCCAAAATACCATTATTCATTTTAAAAATGACACCACCTCCACTTCCACATCCAACTCCACCACTTGCACCATCACATTCACTACCTCCACAACCATCGCAACTGCCACCTCCATCACCACCACCACCACCACCGCATCCTCCTCCTCCTCATCCTCTGCCACCATCACCGCAACCACCCACTGCAAGAAAATATGCTTTAATTGACACTTCATAGTTGACGTTTGTTGAAAAACCATCAACTATTCTACTAATACTTGACATTATAAAAAATGTCAATTAAAGCCCACATTTCTTAAAAACCGTCAAAGAGATCTCATTATACTTGACGCTTTTTTAAAAAAAAAGCTGATTATGTGGTTTGCAATATTTCGCTCCAAAATTTCACCAAAAAAATATTGGGAGCTTTAGTAGTATACCCAAAATAGGGGTTGAAATTATAAAAAAAAAAACCCACATGGAATGCACTTTAGAAACATACCCAAAAACCATTTACTACATAAGAAATGAGTGTTGAAGTTCATATAAATTACATGACTGCCATTGATTAACTTAAAACAAGCCCAACACAAAAAACTCCAAAAACACTTAAAACAAGCCCAGCAAGCCCGAAGTACATTGTTAATACCATATCATAGAAGTATATTGTTAATATCATGTCATAGAAATACATTGTTAATACCATTTCATACAAAAATTTAAAAAAAACGCCCAACAAGCCCGAATTACATTGTTAATACCATATCATAGAAATACATTGTTAATACCATGTCATAGAAGTACATTGTTAATACCATTTCATACAAAAATTCAAAAAAAAAAAACTCAAAAAAGCCTAGCAAGACATTCGATATCCTTTGCAGAAACCACCTCCAATTGTCCACAGTTTCACCAGAAACAATCAAAAAGGCAAAAGGAAATACCTTTACAAGAAAAAGAAAAAAAGTACACTGTTAATACTATATCATAGAACTATATTCATAGTAAAAATCACATTATGCATATCATAAACTTCAAGTGCACAACTATTTATAGAGCAAAATATCGAGCATGGTTTGTTATTGAAAATCTGTTAATACTATGTCATAAAAGTACACTGTTAATACTATGTCATAAAAGTACACTGTTAATACTATGTCATAGAAATCCTCAATTGCAGGGTATGAACAGTATAACAACTGTTCATACCGCTTACTGGAAGTTAACAACTACATCATTTCATTTGCATAATAGGTACGATAAAGAATACAAACAGTACCAAACATCAAAACCAAGTCAACACTAAATAATGGTTTGCGCATTAAAATCACAAAGAACCTAGATCACCTAGAATCTAAATCCAAGAACATTAATTTTCTTTTCTTTTTCTTTTGTTCAATTTGTATTAGAAAAGAAAATGAAGATGTAGTGGCAAGATGCCACACCAACAATACAAATATAGAGTTTAAGTTCTTATATGCAAAATCATTGTTAGCTAACTCATAGTGGAAAACTGGAAGGAAACAAGCATGCACTCTCTGCATTTCTCCTTAATAATATTACAAACTCATGAGGATCTTTCTCCCACTAACTAATTCAAATCATCATCAATTTGGACAAATTTTACAGAAAAAGTAGTAATTCCTTTTGCTAATCCTTCAACTTTACAAGTAAATGTAAATTCATTTGTTAATTCCTGTTTGATGCAACTGTTTTCCAACTCTAATCTCACTTCTTCCAGTGGAAAGACAACATAATGAGAGTAAGTTTTTAATATTGTACTGTTTTGTTCTATCCAGTTTGTTTCCTTTTATATTGCCACTGCAATTTCTTGTTTCTGTTCTAAAGAAAAAAAAATAAACAAAATATATATGACAAAGAAGGGCTACAATGAGATGAAACAAATCCTATGGCCTATACAAACAAGTGGTCTAACATGCTTCCAATAGCCATAGCATAATTAGAGAAGAAATTGCAATTGTTACCCAGCTCAGGTACGCCAATGCAACTGCCATATGGTATTTTTGGCATTCCTCTCCAAAATTGCAGTGGCTCAAGTCACTAAAGTACAACACAGTTATGCCAGCTGAGGCAAAAGCTGCTGCAAAAGACAGTGTTGCTGTAACCTGTTAGAAAAGGAATCAGGTAGCTAATTGCTTCAATGACCTACAGACCCATTGAAGCAATTTAGGTAGCTGCAAAATGAGCATTGCCTTAAACAAATATTACAAATTTTTTTCAAGACAAGAAATGGCATGTGATGCATCAAAGATATGCTGAAATCTGCCTCATAAGCCTACATAATCAGGTTACATAAAACTAAACTTAGATGGCAATTTGCTCACAAACATTAGATAGCATACACATATAGAGCCAAACAAGCCAACAACAGTGAGAAAAACATGCATAATGAATTCTAAATCACTAATTCCAATTATTATATCATTCTAAAATCGAAAAGCCAATACATCAATGACTCATATTGACTAATTAAGTATTTTACACCAAGAACTCATCCCAAAATTCTAACAACCACCAACTCTGCCACCGCTGGTGTGCAAAAGAATGAAGAATCAAATTGAATCACCATATCACCATATCACCATCGCCAAAACCTCAATTCAATCATACACTAAGCAAACACAGAAATTAACAACAAAAAATACAAGAAATTAAAATTTTCACAGTAACCTGTTAGAGCTTTTGCGTATGAGAGACTATGAGTAGTTCTTCAGAGAATCTCTCTCCTGGCGGCGTATCCGTACTAAGATCGACGAATGTTATCCAACGATCATTCCAAGTACGATCTCTGCCTTCCTTGCCATGCTCATTTCTCTAGAGGAGTTCTTAGCTACGTCTCCGTCCGAGGTTGCTGTGGTTGACCTCGCTCGAATTCGACGGCGCTCGAGAAGGAATTGGAGGCTTGTCGTCGGCCAACGAAGATTGAAACGGAGATGATGGCGGTGGCGCCGAAGGTGAAGAAGGATGTGGTGCGTTAATTGGAGCATCCGACAGAGATGGAGGAAGGAAAATCGGCGATGGAGTTTTGGGCAAAGGTGAATTAGCGGCGGGTTGCGGCGATGGCATCGACGAGAGCTATGGTGGAGAGGACGAAGTTGGACTAGGAGAAGAGCCAGAAGCAGAGCTCGATGAACCTCGCCATTGTTGAAGAAGAAGAAAAAAGTTCGAGATGCTGGTTGATGAAGATTGAGTTGATTAATAGACAAAGCAAAAGGGCAAAATAGTAATCAAACATAGCTGTTGAATTTAAGAAATCTGTGTGTTTATATACATTCAATAGTATAGGTTTCTTTATAGTATTATGTCTAGGAATGGATATTTAACTAATTTTCTAAAAAATATTTCGCTCCAAAACCCAAAATCACAAGCCTTAGATTTCCACTGTTTCTTCAAGTCTGAAATTGGAAATACAAATCAAAGAGGAAAAAGTTCTGAAATTTGAAATACAACCCCCCTAGGTTTATCATGATCTCTCTCTCCTCTCTTCTTCATCTCTGCAATGCCAGCTTCTAACTCATCCATCTCTGTAGCGCCAGCGCTTCACCAAACCCAAAATGAAATCAAACACACCGAGTCTCTCTCCCCACTCGCTCCCTCTTCTCTCTTGCTATTCCATTCTTGTCTCCTGCACGCTTGCTCGATGATTCCTCTCTCCGTCGGCACTATCGCTCTTCCTTATCACTAGCCGGGCTCGATCTTCTCTGGAATCTTCGTCGCCACTGTGACAATCTAACTAGTAAACTCTTTTATCCCTCTTCATATTCATCTTTAAATCTATTCCTAAATGTGATGAGCGAAGACAATTAGGGTTATGGTAAATGTGGCTGATTATTTTTCTTTATAAAGAAATCCCATTTTTGCAATTTGATTTTAGGGTTATGTTTGGGTATTTGATTACTGTCGCTGATTTTATTTCCTTTTAAAGAAATTTGTTTTCTTCAATTTGATTTTAGGGTTATGTTTTGAGTATTTGATTATTTTCATTGTAGATATTTGGGATGTGATGAAATTGAAGCAATCTTCTGTTTTTTTAAATTAAAAAAATTTAATCCCGGGGTTTTTGTTCGAAGTAATGCCCTGCTCTAATTTAAAGGTTTATTGTTTGAATATTAGGAGGCAAGACGGAGTGTGACGCAGGTAATAGTCCAGCCTTTTCATCTTTCTTCATAATCTTTGTGACACTGGTTTGATTTAGCCTTTGGTTTTGCTTTGTCTGCACTTTTGGTGTTGATTATGTCTGTATCTTATTGCTATTGTCTTTTCTGCTGTTTCTCTTGCTCTAAAATCTTAGGCTCTTCAACAATTATTGATGATATGTGCTTTATTTCTTGCTCCATTGTAATTAGTGATTTCTACTGAAATTAGTGCTTAACACATAAAGCCTTTAGTTTTAGTTCCTTTCTCTACTATTTAGTTTTCGTTTCCTAAAGTAACAAGAACTTGTGCTCTGTGTTCTAGAGTAACCGTTGAATGAGGTTATTTTTTAACCAACATGTGGTCTGGTTTCTACAAGTTTTAGTCTTTAAGTTCAGTTCGCTCTAAGTTGATTATATGTCATACACAACACTAGAATAAGAAAGATTTATCTAGATTTCTTGTAATTTGCTATGCCAATTATGATGCTCTGTTTGGTTACTAGAATATGACTTTTACTTTCTATATCTTTCACTGACAATTATTAAGAGGTAGTTTTATCTTACTTTGGATATCATTTGAGTCTTTGCTCCCTCAAAACAATTGATTGTATATTACAATAAGCGTGCTGACTTGGTAGATGTTTCGAATAATGACATTAAGAAGTTGTCTTTTTCTACCTCCCCGGTATTTCCTAGCTCAAAGAACCTCAAATCCCTTCCTCAACATTTACATGCTACCCCGTCTTTCATTTCATCCCACTGGGTCTCGACCCATAAATTCAAATATGGGCTGTGATTTTTGTAGATTTTTAGTTTTTCAATTTTTATTTGGACAAAGCATATGTAGAAAAAGGTAAGCATTCTGATTTGGTTTAATCATCAGATCTGATGTTGCACTTATTACGCTAGCTTCAATAGTTTGGATCATAGAAGTTGTTTGGGTTATATATAGTATCTTTCTCATAACCTTCCTTAATCTTAAATAACCATGATATACATATATATAATCTTATATATCTTTTTGCTCTTAAGTACTGCCTGCTATTGCTTTCTCAAGAGTTTGAATGAAAAGGGAAATGGGATTCGAGAATTTAAGAAATGCAAATGCTGGCAATCAAGTAGATACATGAACCATTATCAATGTCCTTTAAACATATTTAGTAAATGTGTTGCAGTTAGAGATTATCAGCTATCATCTCTGTTATATCTTTTATTCACTGTTTCATTGCAGCATATTGTTGTTGATGCTAAACATGAACTTTTGGTTTCATTGTATTCACAAAATTCGATTTTCCACAAAAATTAAAGTGACTGGTGCAGACTTAAGATAAAATTCTAATAATTTTGGTATTTATTTTAAAAGATCAGTGCAGTTTGCATATAATTTCTAGTTTCGATTAAAATTATTAAAACCTAACTAGAGTATTTGTGTGGAATCAAATTGTGACATGTCTTACCAACATAAGTGAGCCTCTGAAAAGTTTGTTTTTAATATTTTCTTGTAGAGCACACAAACTTGCCATGAAACACATTATTGAATGAAGCTTCTATTTGGACCAAGAATTTGCAGACAAGGTTTGGAAATTATCTCTATTTAATTGAACTCAATCAAAGTTGTTGGACCACGAAAAGAAAAAAATTTATTAGCCTGTTGATACTGCTGTCATATCTCACTTTCCATGCTAATATAATGCATTTTGTTTTAGTACTTGTCTTTCTTGTTTTGTAATCTAGTTGCTCACTCTATTTTCAATGTTAGATTATTGAATTACCTTCTAAATTCCCAATTAGTTACAGTTATGGTAGAGGCCAAATGCCACTGAGATTCAAAAATTTGGGTTAGAGCTTCTGGTTCGTTTTAAAGTACAATAGACATGTTGGCTAGAAACTGATTTTGGTAATCTGTTGCAGGTATTCTTGTCTAACAGCGTATGATTTGGAGGGGTGGTCCAGAGTCGTAAATCTAATGGCTATAGTTACGCTTTTTATCATACTAGAAAGCTTGGTTTATTTCAGCATGTATTAGGAGTTTTTGAATGTTTGTATCAAAATATTCTACTTTAATGGATATTAAATTTCAGCTTGACATTTTTTTAAAATATTCATTTAGTTATTAAATCCTTTGAAACTTTAGTTGTACAGGAAGCTCTCTATTAATTAATTAATTTATTTATTTAAATTTCAGTTGTTCAACTCTTGACGGCTAAGAACCATCGAGAAAGATTTATTAAATGTCAGGAAATATATTTGTTGATGCTTATTAAGCGACAAGAAAAGCCCTTGTTGATGGTTTTTCTCTAATCCGTGACGCTTTTTACCCGTTAGGAAACACAACTGCTTGACAGATAATAAATGTCAAGTATGGTGGTACCCTTTCTTGACATTGGCGTCGCTAACGCTTTTGGAACTGTCATCTAATGGTTATAGTGACGCTTTTTAGCCGTCAGTAAAGGGGGTTTTTCTTGTAGTGACCACCTCCACCTCCACCACCACCACCACCACTACCACCACAACCACCACCTCCTCCAAAACCTCCACATCCACCACCACTTCCACAACCAACACCACCACCACTACTACAACCACCAATTCCACCTTCATCACCACCACCACCACCTCCACTCCATCGCCACCACTACCATCACATGATTAGTACATAACACTTTCAACATCATGTCTATTTGAGTCATTATTCACAGTTACAATAATTTTATATTAAAATTTACCAAACGGTGTTGACACTGCTTTTTGTACTAACAGCACTTTAAAAATATTGTTTACCAAACATGGAGTCGCTTTACTTTACAGCTAATTATTTTCAAAGCACAGCAGAAGTAACTTTTTTCAAAAGTGACAGCAATCCCAAACTAGGCCTAAGAACTATATTGATGGCTTAAAAATAAAGCCGTTGGCCGCTGCACTAAACAAACACAGTTTCTTTCTTAGTCTTTGTTGGGTTCATTTTTACACACGATTTATCATCCGAGCACCAGAGCATGCTGATCTAAGGCCAAGAAGTTGACCTACGAAAATGAACAAAAACAGAATTTATAACCAAATATGCATTTTTAGCTCATTTTCATTCTAACCAAGGTAAAATCTATGAAAACGCAAAAAGGAGACGGACGGGAAGAAGAAGAAGAAAGGAAAAGAAAGAAAAAGTCTGCAGCCATCGCGCATGTGAACAGTAATGAACAGTTATTTTATTTTATTTTTTATTCAGCTACCACGTGTCACTCTCCTATTATCCAACTTTATAAGTTCCTTGAAAATTCATCAGAACTCCGAAAATTACCACATGCTCATAGCGAGGTATACTATTTTTCCATCCAAAAATTATAATTTTCTCACTTCAATTTCTTGAACGTCATTTGAAAAATCATTAAATTGAATGTAAGGGCATTTTAGTCCAAATTGAGATTAAACACACTTAATCCAATCATTTCCACACCAAACCAACTTCATAAATTGCCCACACATTTAATTAACCTTGTATGATTTTTTGGAATATTAATAACAACAAAAATCCATTTTTGAGGTTATTATTACAACTTTACTTGGTAAAGGTAAAAATATTTGCATATAGTTGTCATCTATACTACCGCAATAAAGGTTACAGAATTACAAGCTACTTGTAAGTTGTTAGGTGTTACCCTTGGGAGCAAAATTTAACAAACAATAAAAAAGAATTAAAAATAAATATTAAAGAGGTTAATATCACACCTTTAAGTTTAATAGCTAAGAAAAAGTAGCATGATACACAATCCTAGAGCCTTCTAGATAGTCTGCTTCTGTATTCATTTTGTGCATGTGGTTATCACTGAACATCTCACACTACAAGAAAAAAGGTCAGTAGTCTAGTGACCAATTTCCTTGTGACCAAGTGAATAATGGTCACAAATACATAAAATTTAATGACTAATAATACTATTTAGTCACTAATATTATTGGCTTCTACTTTCTAATTTTTAATGACTAAATTTGCTACCAACTCGTGACTACTTTAAATGTGGTCACTAAAAACCTCCTAAATTATATAATTAGTGACCAACACATATGTCTGGGTACACTTGCTTCTCTTATTTGATATATTAGTATTTCGACCAAAAAAAAAAAAAAAAATTGATATATTAGTAGTAGTGACCAATTAAAGTTTAGTTTTTAAACTTTAGTTCTTTTTTTTCGGAAGACAGAGCATACGAGCGAGAGAACCAGAGCTGAGAGAGCGTGCGATTTCAATTTCGTGTCCTTCTCCCTCTGAAAATCAGCTAGGTTTTGGCCTCTTTGCTGTCATTGGAGCTTGACTTCAATTTCGTGTCGTTCGATTAGCCTCGTCTTGTGCTCCGGTCAGGCGAAGAACTTTGGTTTGTAGGTCCCTCTGGTTTTCAGCGAATAGCTCAAAGATCGCTCAGGTATTTGTCATTGTGGTTATCAGTTATTCTTTTACTTTTGATCTTGGTTCCTTTTAGGAATCTGAATTTGATTTCAGTTTTAGGAAACTGATCAGTTGCATATGTTCTGTTGCAACTGTGTGTTGAGTTTCTTGCCACTTTTATCTTGTATGCAAACTACTGTCACTGAAACCTTTTCATTTCTCACGTTCCACTGCAGCTCTCGTTTCAAATGTGAACTGACCAAATGCAGGAAACATTAGATTCAAAGAAAAAGGGGGATTCTGCTTTTTAGCACAAGGACTTTAGAACCACAATTGAGTGTTATTCACAGGTTAAGTTCTTATTGTGGTGCTGTGGTTGGTTGGTTTCTTTTTGCATTCTCTTCTCTTGTAGGGAAATTATACTCATTCCAGATATCAGAATTACTTTCAGAAATAACAAAATATGCTTGTAACATCTTATCTGCTAAGTCTTATAGGAACGAGTGAAATTGGTAGTTCATAAACAGTCGCAAAATTAGTGGATTTGATCCTAGTAAAGCCTTTGTTGCTACTTTATATGTACGAGTTATCCTGCTAACAGTTTCTTCCGCTTGCAGTTCATTGATGTTGGAAACATTGTTTCTCCAACAATTTTGCCTGGCGTGGTTTGTCTTATCTCATGAATGGCATGCCTCAGGAAGCTCTGAACGATGCAACGCAAGCTCAAGTAATTTCCCCAACATGGCACATTGCATCTTATCTTCAGGCTGCTGCCCTTTCTGCCCTTGGAAATGGACAATGAATCACAAGCAGCACTGAAGGAGGGTTCTATGCTTGAAGCCAAAAGGAACTCTGCAGCTGGAAAGAAGTGAAAACCAAGGGTCTGGTACTGAATTTGACACTCTTCAGTTTGGCTCTCAGCACATATAGATGTTGCTCATAAGGTTTCGAACCACGAAAGTCAAAGCTTCACTCAGTTCCATGATATTAAGATTTTGGTCATTTTCCATTAAATGTTTGATTTGATTTCTTGTCCATTAAATGTTTCCAGTATACGAATTACTCTGGAAAAATGGAAAGAAAATAAATGTTGTAAACAACAGTGGGAGGAAAAAAGCCTGTAATTTGTGTACAGAATACATCAAAGATTCCTGGTGTATTATTTCTGAAGAAAAACAGAGGATACCTATTCATAATTGGCTTTCTGCAGAAAATAAAATTCATGGCAACAATTGTTCGGAGAAGTCCTATTCATAATTGCTTACAAACAAGACACACTAACAAATCATTTACCAAGGAAAATTCCCACTACATAAGTGCTCAGAAACAAAGATACAGTAGCAAATCGTTATTAATATTATTTCAAACAAAGCCAATCATTTAAACCAATACTAGAAAACTTGTGCAGATATATCATTGCTTCCATGGCAACTACGCACTCTTCAAGTCAACTGACGCATGGAGGTTGCCTCCGACTCTGAAGATGCTGGAGCTAAAGCTACAAGCAAACAAGCACCCATAAGTTTTGATGAAAACCAAATTAAACAAAAATACCTTAACTCCATACGTTTTGTTTAAAAACAGAAGATTCATGTACTTACAGCTTATCTATTCAGCATATCCTTGACTTGCCGCTTGATCAAAGCTACTCTCACATAAAGCCAATCATTTAAACCATTCAGGAACTTGAAGTATGCGTATCTCCATGACCTCTTGAATATCAAAGTGCCGCAAACTCCCCAAAATCCAGCTGCAAACCCAACCCCCATACTGATGTAAAATCCTAGTGTTATAAGGTCATCCTTATCATCCTCTTGATTCCTCAAGTCAGTTTGCACATGTTGAGCAGCACACATCTTTTTAAGTGGAGCTCCACAGAGTTGAGGATTTCCAGCATAAACAGAGGGATCAAAGCTTTGGAGCTGAGTCCCGATTGGAATTTCGCCAGATAAGTTGTTAAATGACAAGTCCAAGAAACCAAGACGATCTATCCGAGCAAGGCTTGTTGGAATTCGTCCTTCTATCTGGTTTCTTGACAAATCAAGGGCATCCAGTGACTGCAAGTTTCCAATCTCTGGAGTTATTTGACTTGTTAATTGGTTTCTCGACAGGTTTAAAGAAACCAATCCAACAAGATGAGTAATTTCACTTGGAATCTCCCCTGTTAATCTATTACTTGACAAATCAATTGTCTTCACAAGCCTCAAAGTTCTTTTGTATGTCTGCTTTCTTCCCTTCCACATGATGGTTGCATTATCCACATACGGACTTTCCACAGAAGCATAAGCAGCAGGTGGTGAGGCGCCAGTTATTGGGCCGCCAGAGGAGACAGGATGTTCGATGTCCAAACTTGGATTTCCTTTCTGAGCCAGAGTAGCTAAATTGTTGAGGCATTTGGGTATGCTTCCAGAGATGTTGTTCATGGAGAAATCCAAAATTTGAATGTCTGTTAGATGGCATATTTGTGTGGGCAAGCTTCCGTTGAAGTGATTAGACGAAAGCAGCAAGACAACCAAATTCTTTAAGCTAACCCCTAACCATTTAGGTATGGGTCCAGATAATTTATTATCCCCAACATCAACGAGTATTAAACTCCTGCAATTCTTCAACGACGAAGGCAATTGTCCCACAAATCTATTGCTTCTCAATTTGAGTGTTTCAATATGAAATAGGGAGCCTATTGTTGTAGGAATTTTCCCGGACAAAGCATTAAAACTCAAATCAAGCATGACTAAATACTCCACATGTGTCAAGCAATCTGGAACTTGTCCAGAAAAATTGTTGCTTGAGAGGTCAAGAAAGGATAAAGAAATAGCTGCACTTGAACACAAGAACGAAATTGACTCTGAAAGTTTATTATGAGAGAGGTCCAAATATGAGGCTGTTGATAGAACTGAGGGGATTGGACCTTCCAACTTGTTAGAACTCAGACATAGTGCAGGGGAATGTGAAAATTCCAATGTCAAATCTGCAAATGAACCTCTAATTTGGTTGCCTGTGAGATTCATATATTCCACATTACGACACAAACTCCAAAACCAACTTGGAAGGATGTCGGAAATTCCAGCATCAGAAATATCAAGGTATGAGAAATTTTTTTGAGTTTGAAGCCACTTTGGGAAATACGGACCCATCTTGCAAGACGCCAAAATTATACGGTCCAGCTGGAAAGGAGGAATCCAATCAGCATGGATGTCTAAACCTAGTGAGTTAGAAGAGTTTTGAAAAGATAGATCCAAAACCTGTAATTTGGAGAGTTTTGAGAAATGAGTTTCTGAAATCACTCCTTCCAAAGAATTGCTGCCAAAATCAATAGTTGTAAGCTTCGACAATCGCCATATACTTTCAGGTATCCCTCCGCTTAATTTATTGTCATTTAGATTGAAGACTTCCAAAGATGAAAGGTTTGTAAGATCAGGTAATGACCCTGCAAGATCATTCGAAGAGAGATCCAAAAACTGTAATTTGGAGAGTTTTGAGAAATGAGTTTCTGAAATCACTCCTTCCAAAGAATTGCTGCCAAAATCAATAGTTGTAAGCTTCGACAATCGCCATATACTGTCAGGTATCCCTCCGCTTAATTTATTGTCATTTAGATACAAGGCTGCCAAAGATGAAAGGTTTGTGAGATCAGGTAATGACCCTGCAAGATCATTCGAAGAGAGATCCAAAAACTGTAATTTGGAGAGTTTTGAGAAATGAGTTTCTGAAATCGCTCCTTCCAAAGAATTGCTGCCAAAATCAATAGTTGTAAGCTTCGACAATCGCCATATACTGTCAGGTATCCCTCCGCTTAATTTATTGTCATTTAGATACAAGGCTGCCAAAGATGAAAGGTTTGTGAGATCAGGTAATGACCCTGCAAGATCATTCCAAGAGAGATCCAAAAACTGTAATTTGGAGAGTTTTGAGATATGAGTTCCTGAAATTACTCCGCTGAATTTATTGTCATTTAGATACAAGGCTGCCAAAGATGAAAGGTTTGTAAGATCAGGTAATGACCCTGCAAGATCATTCCCAGAGAGATCCAATGATTGCAAACTACAAAATCTGGAAAAAGAATGCGGGTCCCCTCCTTCAAGTTGGTTGTCCAAGAGATTAAGATGTGCCAGAGAGCTCATGTTTCCCAAAACATCAGGAATTGAACCAGCTAGAAGGTTATTAGAGAGGTCAAGATCAACAAGGCTGGTATTATAGTTGGACAACCATAGAAATATTGAAGAAGTACTCAATTGGTTGGAAGAAAGGTCAACGCTAGCAAGAGATTTAGAAGAGTTTATGTAAGAAATAGTGAAAAAAATTGGAGAAGGAAGATCACAACCAACTAGTGTCAAGTTTGTTAGTTCAGGAAGCTTATTAATGACTTCCGCCCAATTGAAAACATTGTTGAGATTCGTGCCACTCAAGTCCAAATATCTTAATGACGAAAGAAGAGGAAGCCAATCGAGATTTTCTGCATTTGTAAAGTCATTTAAACTCAAGTCCAGATGCTGCAAGTTTGTAAGATTTCCGACCTGACTTGGAAACTTGCCTCCAAAAAGAGTGTTAGACATATCAAGGTATCTTAAATTGGATAGAGAACCAATGAAATCTGGAAATTGTCTCCCATTGAAACTAATCCCACGAAGGTCCAAATGGTGTAAATGCTGCAACTCAATCAGTTCAGGACTAATCATCTTACCTTCCAATAAAGAATTATCCCATGAATGTGCGCCCACAACTTTGTATGAAAGGTCAAGTTGAAGAACATGACCTGTTTGGTTGCTACAAGAGACTCCTATCCATCTGCAACAATCTTGTTTCTGGGCTTCTGAACCCCATGAAGAGAGGAAATTGGACTCATCCACCAGGCCACGTTTGAATGCAAGGAGTGCTTGCCTTTCCTTCTCTATGCACCTCCCGGTCACGTTAGCATCCCTGTGGTTGCGACTAACTTCTCCGCCTTGGACGCACTGTAGCAAAAGCAGCGCAATTGCAAGAAAGAGTTTCAAACACATCCCGTGACCCTGCATGTTAATAGATTCAAATGCGAGATCAACACGATTCAATTAAGAGGCACAACTATTTAGCGTTTATGAATGCAATATTAGGTCGAAGATATAGGGGGAAAAAACGAAGTCTTTCATGACTGGAACTGACTCGAAGTCTTTCAACCCTGTTGCTGTTTGCTTTCGTAGAACGACAAAGCGTGATAAGTGGCTAGAAAACACATGAAAACGTAATAAAGTGGCTCTGGGGGAGCGAAGTCTTCCCTTGACTTGACATGGTGATTAAAAAGCATATCTATAATATTCAGATTTCTTTTAATGTGTCAAGACAGGTGTGTCTATGTCAAACTTTTATCAACATCAGATTTTTAAAAAATGATTTTTTTTTTTTAGTAAAGGATACGATTGAGAGTGTGGGATATTGCAAAAGATGAGCATGTATTAATTTTATTTATGTCTGCCATATTATTATTGGGATGGCTCCTTTTACAGTATGTATCATTTGTACTCTTTCTTACTATTGTTCTAATAAAATTCTCTCTCCTTTTTATAAGATTGAAAAAAAAAACATAGTAAGCTATATAGTCTATGTATAATATTTGAATTGAGGACTAAATGCTTTATTATGTAATTTGTGCATTTCAAATTTTCAATGAGATTTTGACTTGAAAATTCTATAAAAGGAAAGTGCCACCTTAAAATGAAATGATCATACTTATCGATATATCTATATAAAGGCAAAAATAGATAATAGTGAAACATTCAAAATATTAAAAATTGTCCTTGATTAAAGAATTTATTAAGCATTGAAACTTTTCAATAAATAAGAATAATATAGTAAATTAATATTTTTTTTCATGTTAAAAAATTTAAAATCCAAATCAAAATAAGAACATGGGTCTTAATTCAAAATCAAAATAATAATTTTTAATTATTATGCCGTAGTGTAAGTATTGATGACTTGACTTTAAAGACTTGGACTCTTTTTTTCCACCAAAAGCACAGCTTTGAGAAAAAAGAATTGGAATTTTATAATGCAAAATATAAGTGTGTCACCTTGTAATATATCATTCATCTGCTACTTCTAGAAATTAAGATGCAAGTGCCCACTAATTTTCAAGATGCAAGGGCCCACAAATTGACTTGAGACTTCAGTAATTGACTAAATTTTGAAGGTCTTAATTAGATAATCGCATTTTTCTTATTTTATTTTTTATTTTTTATTGGGTATGAATATAAGAAGTTCATTAATTTTGGGATTAATGGACAAGAAGACTTGTGGAAATCAATTTTTATACATGACGAATGAATTTGTGAATGTTATCAGTGGACAAGATTTTGAGACATAAAAATAAGAAAAAGTGATGAATAGCTGAAGATTCAAGTTAATATCAGGCACAATTGTTTGTACCCTAAATGCCCCAAGCAAAGAACACATATTAAGTTTAACAAACAATAAAAAATAAATATTAAAGAGGTTAATATAACACCATTAAGTTTAATAGCTAAGAAAAGGTAGCATGACTGTACACAACTTAAGAGTCAGCAGAAAGAAGTGAATCTTCTAGTGAACTGCAATTTAACTAAGCAAGAAAAAATCATTACGAATTAATGCTTGGAAAATAGCATGAGAAGCCAAAGGGAAAGATCAAATACCCAAATTTAATGTTTTTTTTTTTTTTAAATTTCTACAAGTGTGACTCCAAAGCGAAGCTCGGAACTGTAAATTTCTACAAGTGTGACTCCAAAGCGAAGCTCGGAACTGTAAATTTCTACAAGTGTGACTCCAAAGCTGTAGGTTTCACTTTTATCTGTAAATTTACTAGATCGGAAATACTCTAAATCCATGTACCCAAAAGTTCCTTGTACTTCTATGGTTAACTGAGTTTTGTCAAGGGGAACTGATTTTGAAGTCCCAAAGTCGGATACTTTAGCACTGTAGTTACGGTCTAGAAGAATGTTAGAAGACTTGAAGATGGGGGATTGAAGATGCAGAGGGCATATATGATACTGCTCTGGCAACTTCACAGGCGATCTTGAAGCGATGTTCCCATGAAAGTGATGGTGTTTCAATGTGCTTCTGCTGGATACAGTATCGCCGTGCGGCTATACTGTATAAACAGAAATTTTAAAAGTATCGCCACGGAATAGAAATTTTAACAGTCGAGCCGCGCGGCTATACTCTATAAATAGAAACTTTTCCCTAAAGCCGGGCAGCTATAATGTATAAATAGAATTTTAGAGTATAGCCGCCCGGCTATACGCTATAAATATAAAAGTAAAGCCGGACGGCGATACCCCATAAACAGAAAATTTTCAAGTAAAGCCGTTATACTCCCTAAATATAATATATTAAGAGTATAGCCGTAAAAATTTTAAAAGTATAACCGCGCGGCTATATACTCTATAAATATAAATTTTACAAATATAACCGCCCGGCTATACACCATAAATAGAAATTATGACAATATAGCCGCCCGACTATACCCGTTAAATACAATATTTTAATAGTGCCGCGCGGCAGTATGCTCTAAATATTTTAAAAGTATATCCGTACAGCTATACTCGTTAAAAGTATAAAATTAGTTTCTTTACTTTTTTCTTTTGCGAGCTTCTGTTATTTAATATATGTAATTTATATTTATTTTTAAATAAAATATCTCCCAACGAAATTTTGTTGGCACAGGTATAAGACTTGCCCCGACGAAATTACCCCTGCCAACGACATTTCATCGTCAGAACTCTAATCCGGCAAATTTTCACCGGGATAGACCTGTGCCGACGAACTTTCGTCAAGAGAGGTTTTCTTGCTTTTATTTATTTTTATTTTTATTTATTTTAAACATGTAAAATTAGTTTTTTTATTTTTATTTTTGGCTAACTTCTTTACCTTAATATATGTAATTAAGTAATATCATAGCCTTTTTTTAATTACTTTAATTGGTAGATATATTTAATTATTATTTCTTTAGTGAATATTTAAATTAAATATTTTGCTCATTTCATAAATTACTTAATGAATAGTAATTAATTATGGACATTGTTTTCACAAAATTAGTTTGGGTAAATCCAAGTCTCGAACCAAAAACCCTAGCTTCCGAAATTGTTCCCAAACCTTTCTTAAGTCTCGAACCCTAACCATAAGCCTACTAAGGAGTATATACTTTCTCTTCTTTTCCAATGTGAGACTCAAGTTCATGTATTTCAATCAAACTCCAACAAGCAGTTGATATTATCGAATCACATTGTGACTTGGATTTAAGTTTCAAGGCTAAAATCCATTTTTGGAATACTAAAATATTTTGGGTACTAAAACTAAATTTCTAGGATTTTTATTAAAATATTTAATGCTAATTATTCACTAAAGAAATAATAATTAAAACGTAATCACTAATGAAGGTATTTAAACAAGGCTAAGATATTATTTAATGAATAAAAAAGAATATTTTAAAAATGATATTTTAATTAGAATATTTAAAAGTATAGCCGCCCGGCTATACCCTTTGAATAGCATAATCTTGATTTCTCTTTTTTAATTACTATTTACTTAGTGAATAATTAATATTTAAATATTTGATTAAATAAAAATAATAATTACTATGTATTAAGTTAATTAAAATATTTAATTATTCACAGAGCCCAGAGTCCCTAAGGCCCAATGCCCATCTTTTGATTAATTAAATATATATTATTTATATATATTAATTAACCATTGACCCAAAGGCCAAATCCACAAACCGCTCAATTGGGCCACTTGCACAGCCCAATCCAACAATTCTAAGAGTATATCTTATAAAGACCTTCAAGGAACTCTAGTTTGCCAATGTGGGACTAATATCAACTCAAACATGTTTTCAATGCCTTACAAAAACCAATAGTAGATATAATGCAGATGTTCCACGCTTACCAAATGAGCACCAATTGGACCAATTAGAGGGCTTTGGAATCTCTAATGATATCTTCACCAAAAGCTGTAACCTGTTTAAACAAAACATTTTCATATTCCTTAAGAACTATAGTTGTTTTTGGTAAAATGGCAGCCTGAGATATAATGCACATGGGCTGCATTTGCATAACTAACACAGAATAGGGTCTGCTGTTTTCTCATGCATCTAAGACCACAAGATCGAGGGTGCCAGGTCTTGTTGGTTTGATTTTGCTGATGCTCCCGATGCTTCATGTCATAATTTTGAATCTAAAAGACCAGCTTGTGATTACACATACATTCAACAAACATAGTATTTAAAATAAGATTAGTTGACAGCCAAATCATCCCCAAAACTTCAAACAACAAGACTTACAAATCTCACCTGCAGACACTGGTTTTTTGGTGTAATTTCCTTGGAAAATAGAGGACTAACTTTATCATTATCTTTGCAGCTGTCACCAACTTCTGAAAATTCAAATGCATCTTTGTGTAACCGTGAAGCATGAGTTTCTACTCTTTCAATTCTCGCAGCTGACATTTCTGGAGGAGACAGTTCATACAATACAGTGGCATTATTTCTGTTGGTAGAATCCAAGGAGTCCCACATAGTTTTTGGCGTAGCCAATTTAGGTTGCTTCTGAGAACTCAAGTTTAAAGTCAACATTGTATTCCACAGTGCCACATGAATCTGCTAGTAAGAATTCTTTTAGATAAAGTATTGTAAGTTAAACACAATGTGAATTGATAACGTTACTGGTTCAAATGCATTCCTAGAAATTAATGAAGTCCTACCAGTGGGGATAACAGACAAGTCCAAATAAGGAAGTGATCTGCCTAAATGAGGGGTTTCTGTTGCCTTAAGATAAGCACTTGATAAAACTTGACCTTCATCTCTTATCAATGCATGGGTTTTTCCTGGTTTACATAGAGTTGCAGCTTCAGAAGAGGAGTCTCTAGTTTCATTACTTTTTCTTAAATGATCCATGCAAAGAACTTCAACATCCATTGCACTTTGAGCACACTGGCCAAGTACTTCTCCAACCTGTTGTAAGGCGTCACTGCCTGTCTTTTCCTCATCATGAAGTTGTTCTTCTTC